CGTGGTGCTGCTGCTCACAGAGACTAATTTAACTGCAGGAGCTTTTGTCAGTTTGTTTACTAGTTTGATTTTTTTTTTAACTTCTCTGAATTGTGTTTGCATGATAAAGCATAAGGCTATATACTCTTCTGATAGTGTTGCATTCACCAAAAACACAGAGCATTTAAAAAGGAAAAACGATGCACACGTAAATGGATACAACACTCACCACCATTGCCTGGCCAATTCCTCGCAATTCCAGAATTCTAGGTTTTCTGCCATTTATCATCAAGGCCATACTTATTGAGGCTCAAGTCTTGACAAAACAGGATTGAGAAGTGTAATTCATAACGCTTTGTAATCCACAAACTGTTTTTTCTCCATGAAGGAAAAGAGAGTAGAAGATAAAGAAAACTGTCATTCCCAGGGCACCTTGGGCAGCCAGTCCCTGTGTTAAGAGCTAACGTACTTGATCTATTTGCCTGTGCTCTGACAGGAGGTCTTCTTAGCCCTGTTTGACGTATGAGGGAATTGAGGTCGCAGAGCAAGTGAGAGCAGAGGCAGGATCTGAACCCCTGCTTTCCAGCAGGCTGCGTTAGCCTCAGAGCTTCTAAAGCGCATACAGAGATGACATGATCACAGCCTCCATTGAAGCCACTGTGGGACGTTCACGTGCTTTTCCTCTCTACCTACCTGTCAGCAGGCTCAACCCTTCACTTCACAGAGACTTTTTTAGCACCCTAAAGAAAGTTCCCTCATAGGGACTTTCCCAGCCCCTGAGACTCCATCCTCAAGAACACTCTGTTGACATTGTCAAAGGATCTACTCCAATGTTGGCCTTTTTCCAGCAGAAGGACAATTTATCATTTATGTTCGATTTGTGGAATTGCTTCCCAAGACCCCAGAAGAGAAATATGGAAGTGTGGTAGAAGAAAGCTCTCAGTAGCCAAGATTATACGATTGGATCCCCTTGGTGGGTCCACCCCCGCTCAGCTTCTGTGCAGTGCTGAAGGGTCACGAAGGGCGTCATGCTCCAGGCGCTGGGTCAGTCCCCTGGCCACACTGTCTCTGGGAAGCTCAGGCTCCCTGGCTCTCTCAGAACTGAGTGTAATCACCGTAATCAGAGTAAGGGGTGCTTCGGTCTGGGCAAGGTCAGGACAAGTACCAGGAGGAGAGTGTGTCCCCAGCTACAATTCTGGCACCAGACCAGCACTTGGCTGTGACTGGGAAGCTCAGGCTCCCTGGCTCTCTCAGAACTGAGTGTAATCACCGTAATCAGAGTAAGAGGTGCTTCCGTCTGGGCAAGGTCAGGACAAGTACCAGGAGGAGAGTGTGTCCCCAGCTACAATTCTGGCACCAGACCAGCACTTGGCTGTGCGAGGCTTATAGCCCGGAAGATTACCCGTTGGGAGGTTGTTGCTCATGGAATATGGTCTTTGTTTGTCCTTCGCTACCCTTTTTCCCCACCTTTGTGTCTGTGTCTTTCCTGAGGCATATCGCTCCACCTGCATTTTCCTCTTTTATTGTCTTTCTTTTTGTCTCTTCTCTTCTCTCATCTCTCTAATCCCTGTTATCCAGACTAGAGCCTAGGGTGGCCACAGACTTTCTGTAGAACCAAAGAATCTCTGTTAGGTTGTTTTTAAAGAAAAATTTCATTAGCTAAAATTTATTAGCTAAAATCTGTTGCTAAATGTAGGAAATATTCTCTCTTCTTAATTAAAAAAAATTTAGATGAATAGGCTATGTAGTTTTTAAAATTCAAGGCAAAGTCCTTCATTGATCTTAATTCTATTCTATTTTATTTTTTTTAGTATTACCATTTAATGGTGACTGAACACTAGGTTTTAATTACAGTCCATGGGGAGAAAAAATTCCAGCATAAACAATGAATGCAAGCGGCACTTAACTGGCAAGGCTACCATGCTTCTCATCTGGACCATACGCAAAACCCTAGTGCATGCGTTCCTGTGTACAGTAACACAGCACCAGAAGCAACACAGCTGCAAAGCAACACAGCTGCATACATCTGCATACATAAACACAGGTCATTCTTTTCAGCCCTACATGGAGATGTAATTAACAGTATCAAGCACTCAAAGAAAATCAATCTGCCGGTTTATATATACTACACGGAGATCATAGCCTATAGAGTAATAAGAGCTACATCCTCAAGAGGCATACGTATAGACACACAATTTTTGTTTAATAATCTTTAAAACAAAGATCAAAGTTCATTTATTTAAGTCCTGTTGCATTAACAAAAAAATAAAAATAAAATGGAACCAAATAATCATTTAAAGTTTAAAATTCCTAAATTATCCAATCTATACAACTGTGGGAGACTTCATCAAGGTTTCTGAGAAGCCTAGGGCTGTTTCAGCTAAACCATAGGATTCATTGCCCTTAATTTTAAAAAAAGCAAAATTATGGTCACTAATACAGGGGGAAGTTTTCTCACCTTTGATATAAGTAAATATTTTAAAATATAGGTGGGAAGAAAAGACTTTTGGCCCAGTCATAACATGTATAATGGCAATTTCCATTTTTCCTCACTTGAGTTTTGTACTAAAGGGTTTCTTTAGGAGAGTCCATGTTATTATAAGTTTTTGCAAAATCACCATTTAGGGCCTTCATTTATTTAAATCTGTAAAAGGTGATTGTTGGACAGTTGCCAGCTGACTCATGTTTCCATGGTATGAAAGCTGGATACATAGAGTCTTAGAATGGTAATCAGCTTTTTATTTTACAGAGACCCCTATGTTCAAAGAGTAAATATATAAAAAATTTTAAATAACACACACACACACACAACTGTTAAGTGCTAAAGGCTTTCTGAGTACTTATTTTAGAAAATACTCCTCTTTTACCCTCTGTGGTCCCCACATGTAGCATCTCTTGAGGATAATTTCTGATTTCACATTCTTTTTGTCAGACACCCTTCCTTTTTTTTCTTTAATTTCTTCACAAAGACACAATGATCTTGAGCCTTCCACATTCATCATCTGATATGCTTTTTCAGAGTTCAACTTAAATGAAAAACAAATATTGTTCATGTGTAAACAATGATGATGACTTGGGGCCACGTCTTGCTTTTTTTTTTTTTTTTTTGTCTTTTTCCGTGTCCGGCAACGGTTCGCAACCCTCAGTGTCGCCCCCGTACCGGACCAGGACCGGCAACGGGATCGCAACCCTCGGTGTTGCCCCCGCGCCTCGCTCAGCCAGTGAGCGGGAACCAGTCTGTATGTGGGATCCGAACCCTCGACGGGAGCGCCGCCGCGCTTCCCAAGCGGCGCACTAGCGCAGTGCACCACCGGGCCGGCCCTTCTTGCTTTTTTTAAAAAAGGAGGGAGCGCCGCCGCGCTTCCCAAGCGGCGCACTAGCGCAGTGCGCCACTGGGCCGGCCCTTCTTGCTTTTTTTAAAAAAGGCGTTCTAGCTTAAAATTTTATTTCATACTTGATATTTCAGGTATTTATCGTGAGTCTTTATTAATACCCCTGCAATGGTGATTCTAAACCTTTTGGTCACTGGCCCCTCTGAAAATATGAGAAAAGTCCTGCGTCTTTTCTTCAGGAAAGCACATGCACAAAACCCCACACCCATTTCAGGGGGTTTACAGCTCCCCTGGGTCAACAGGATAAGACTCTCCTAAGTTATTAATTTTCTCCTCTATGAAGACTGGATGCTACTTTTGGGGGTGGAGTAAGGAGAGAGGAAAGGGGTTGGACAGCATTCCTGCTCTTTCATTTGTTAAGAGAAATTATTTTTCAAAAATAAATACAGTGGTCTTAAATTCTTTTTTATTTTGAAACACTGCAGTTCAGGTACCAAGCCCAGAAAAGAAAGCAAAATGATGACAAGTGTGCATTAGTGGTAATGGACCTAAATTTGCAATGGCTTTGCCTTAACAGAGTCCTGCAGGGTTAGATAAATCCATCTTCCAGCACATGGGACATTTGAACTAAGCTTCTGTGTTTTAAAAACTGTATTGATGTTATGAGTAAATGTTATGGGTCAGCATTCACTCATTTTCAAAGAATTTTAGTTGAAAAGTTTCTATTGTTGATTTGTCACCCAAGGAAAGAGATTCACCTGGCAAGTCAGTAGCGCACATTCATAAGACTGTCCTTGGGTTTTACTAGCTTCGTTTATTTCCCCAAATATTAAGTGAAAAATATTTGAGTATTCACTTGGCATAGTGGAAAGAAGAGACATTTCCTCGTTGTCTGAGAGGGATGACAGGAGTTGTTCAGATTTGAAGATTTATTGCAAGAATTCTCCCAGTGAGGCCAGGCTCCAGGCTTTGTACTATAATTATGTTTAGAAAATCATTTCGTGATCAAATATTAATTTGTGAAGAGGGTTGTGTAACAAAGAAGTAGACTTTTTATGAATAAGAGCAATTTTCATGAGATTGTTGAGAGCTGTTTTTTGTTAGGTTAAATTTCAGCAAGATGTTGGTGTCAGTCTGTTCTCCTACTAACCTTCTCTCCCCTTCATTTTTTTTTTTTTCTTTTAAGTGAAAATAACTTGACCCCAGCTTTCTGTGCCCTTAGCCATGGGCATTTTCCAGTTTTCAAACCAGCACAGTATCATCCCTGATTCCACCCCCACCTCCAGAAAACAGTTCTGTGTGGTTAATGAGGGGTAAGGTGACAATGGGATTATGTATGCTAGGCATTTAACACTCAGAAGCATACTCTGTGTTTCCACATTAGAAAATAGACCACATTTAGAAAATAACTTCACTGTTTGCTTCTAATAATGTTCAGCCATTTGTTTTGGTAAGTAATTAAAGTGCCATCTCTTCTCCTGCCTAGTCATCAGGTAACAATCTAGATTTAGAGAGAGTGAGCTAACAAGTTGCTGTTAGAGTTGATTTGTTCCCTAACCCATCCTGTGAATATCAATGCTAACAACAGTGTCTTGTGTTTTTTTTTTTTCTTTCTTTCTTTTTTGTTTTTTTTTTTTTTCTTTAAATAAATGTGCTTTTTCCTATGTGAATAATTATATGTCTAGAAACAGCCATGGAGTGATTTTGCTGTTCTGAATGGGGGAAAGATTAATAGTGACATTTGGAAGGCAAGTATATTGTCAAGATTTTAGATCATTTAATATTTTTTCTTTCTGCATGGCTGTGGCTGTATATTTTTCTTCTTCGTGAATATCCATGCATTCTGCAGGGACAGAGCGATTGGGCTTCTTGCTAGGGGCATCAGCTCACACTCATGTTGCCTTTTTTTTGATGTGTCCTCTTGTGAATGATGAAGCCGATTGCCCAGGTTTGTTTTGTAAGAGCAGGCGCTTGCACCGGTCAGCATCCAGCAGTCCTTCCTTGCATGCCTTTTTCTGCCTAAGCTCACATACACTCTCTGCCTCTTGCCGGGAGGACTTCCCTCCCCTTTGATTTTGGGGCAATGTGTTGGATTCCTCTCCCATTGTACATTAACAGGGATCTATTTTCCTCTAGGATTTGCATGCAGCCACAGTTAACCCAGACCCCAGTTTAAAAGAGTTTGAAGGAGCAACACTACGCTATGCATCTTTGAAACTCAGGTAGGACATTGGAAGGATCTGCTCTAAAGTATGGCTTTGTGCAGCTAGAGTTTGCAGTAGAATTCTAAGCTCGGTTTTCTGTTTGTTTTTTTTCTAGAAACACCCCACATGCTGATGATGACGATTCTTGTAGTATCAACAGTGATCCCGAAGCCAAGGTTTGTGAGAAACATACTTTCAGCAACCAGGTTATATTCTTACATCACAGTAATGACTTTGGATTATGGCTTAGTTTTTAAAAACCATCAACCCAGAGTCACTTAATAAGTAATTATCCCTCAATTCTCTCTCTTTTCTAATGTCCCCAACATTTTAAGAAAACTCCTAGGCCAAGTTAGGTTTCAGGAAATTTCTACAACCATGGAGGACTCTGCCCGAGTCTCACCACATCAGCTCTTTGTGCAATGTAATATGTTAAAATTAAAGATCAAATGGGTGGCTTCACAAGCCTTTGAAGATACACCAGGCTCTGCCTTTCAGAGCAGTGGGAGTTGAACAAGTGGAGTGTGAGACCCCTCATGCCCACCTCCTCCAGAGCAGCCTCACACTTGTGCAAGGTGAAATCTCTCTGCCATGCCTGTCATCACAGGTTAGAGGCGTACGCTTTATGATAGAAAGTGAGGGCAAGCTTGTGTCACTTGTGTTTCTGGGCTCCTGCTGGTGTACCGGCAGGGCCATCTTTAGGGCACGTGCCAGGGCCCCATGCATGGGGTTCAGTGCTCAAGGTTGCTGTCTTGAAATTCTTAATCAGTGAGTCGCACAGCCTGATAAGATGATGGCAGCTCTAGAGCCAGTGGCATTCTGTACAGGTCCTTCAGCTGCTGCTAACATGCTGGCCTTTAAAGATAAATTTTATGGCAAGGAATGGATGCAGTAAAGCAGGAAGGTGGGCTGTGAATAATTTGCTTTACTACCAGGTGTTTTACAAGGTCTTTCAGCAAAGGCTGGAGGAGGAGGGGTGAGCGGCGTATCTGTCTCCAGCACTGAGGGCTGGGGCAGTGATAATCTGGGAAGCCCTCCTGTGAAACTGACAAGTGGGCAGGGAGGGCAGTGCATGGAAGGGAGATAGAACTGGTCACAGGAATAGGAGGATCTACCCGCAATGCCATGGAGAGGAAAGTAGCTTTCCAGATCCTTTTGTATTTGTTCTGAAACCCAAAGCAGATCTGTGTCTATGAATAAAATGGCAAATAGGTTTCCTTAGTAGTAGTAAGTGGGGAACACCATGCAGTTTCTAAACCTTGACTCCTTTGCTGGAAACTGCCATATTTCCAGTTGATGCTATAAGAATCTCAGGGCTCCCACTGAAATCTCCTCTGCTCCTAGTTGACTCATCTTCATTTTAAGCACAGCCTGATAAGATGATGGCAGCTCTAGAGCCAGTGGCATTCTGTACAGGTCCTTCAGCTGCTGCTAACATGCTGGCCTTTAAAGATAAATTTTATGGCAAGGAATGGATGCAGTAAAGCAGGAAGGTGGGCTGTGAATAATTTGCTTTACTACCAGGTGTTTTACAAGGTCTTTCAGCAAAGGCTGGAGGAGGAGGGGTGAGCGGCGTATCTGTCTCCAGCACTGAGGGCTGGGGCAGTGATAATCTGGGAAGCCCTCCTGTGAAACTGACAAGTGGGCAGGGAGGGCAGTGCATGGAAGGGAGATAGAACTGGTCACAGGAATAGGAGGACCGGTGAAATTATTCTTCAGTCAGTGCGTTGGGCTTTCTCTTTTCTTCCCTCCTGGTTGTATTGCTTGCCAAATTCTTTATCTGCTACCTTTCTATTCCCAGTGTGTCTATTCCAACACTTATTATGAATTTGTTGATGTTAATAAGGATGCTTAACTTTGTCGTAAGTCACTGAAGCTGTGCTTAGTTCTAAACAAATATACATGTGTTGTTTTATTTATTTTTATCCTACTTTGTTCCATAAAAGATCTGAGAAGACGTATAAGAACAAATGCTTTTCTTTAAAGGCAAAGAAGATATGAAGGTATAATCAGTGTGGCCTGGAACAATGTATAGAGTAAGGAAAGGTCAGCCTGGGGAGAAGAATGGGAACAGAGCTTTTCAGATCATAGGATTTGCACAGTTGCTAAAATGGACTCAGTTGGGGTTTTTTGTGCCTCCTGGTGATTAATTACATCGAGGATTCTTACGGTGAATGGGACAAATCCCTAGAAGGACAAATCAGAATCTTGAAAGGACTTTGCAACCTACATGTGCTTCTAACTACCCCTGCCCCGCCCTACATTCTGAGGGAGCCCCCTGCTGCAGAATGTCACTGTCAGTGTTGAGGACCCATGAGCACGCTGGGAAGGGAGAAGGGTTTCAGAGCCTGCTTTATATGAATCACGCTGCACATACGGCAAAGCCTCTCAGTTCCTTATGCAATGTAAAGATTTTTCTAGTGCTTCATTATAAAATAGTTGTAATAATGAATATTTATTGAGTGCTAACTTTTTGCCAGGTATGGTCCTACAGGCTTTAATTCTATTCATTCTCATTCTCAGAAAAAATTCAGTGGGCTAAGTAACATTTTCTTGACATGAGGAAACTGAGTCATAGAAAGTTAAACAGCTACTATGTTGTAGAGCCAGGACTTGAATCTAGGCTGTTTGGCTCGAGAGCCCATGCTCAGTAGACTTGTCTAAAAGAAAATTCTCACTAGAGTTCCATTCAGGGGCTCCCACCAAATGGGATTAATGTCCTCAACAATATTCCAAATATATATAGATATATAGAAATTTTGGTTTTGCCAGTTAGTCTTTCGTAGCCTTACTCACTGGGAACGAAGGACAAACACCCCAGCAGAACTCATTTCAAGTAAATTGGTGGAGATTGTGACAGTGTGGACCAGCTTTCTGGTCTGATTTCAGGAGAAGATGAACTCTAGACTCTTTGAGAAAAATGGATGGGCCACAGGTTTTTTCAGGCCATTCCTCAGTAGTATAATTTCAGCTTGGCTTATGGTAAAAGTTGGACCTGGAACGGGAGGAAGTGGGGGCTGGAGTGGAGAGAATCTGCTGCTGATGACTGGCAGATCTGCACACTGTCAACTCACCGTGCAGAGGACAGGAAATCGAGGAGCCTCCGGGTACATGATCACCCACCTACTAATGGGAGTGAGCCAGGGAAGGCCAAGGTGTTCTTTCAGAATTATGAGATATTTCAAAATCCAACAGCCTGAAATGAAATTATATTTTTTTACAAATTTTGAATTCAGTGAGTTTAGAACTGGTTTAATGAAGGCCTTTTGGAGGAGCTTCTCTCCCGTTCACATTCTTAGTCACTCCTCCCGTGTTTAATGCTGCCTGGGGTCCAGAGCCAATGCCTAGCACCTAAATTCGCTGCATATTCAAGCTCCTTTGTAGAAATAACTTACTTAAGGTAACCCTTTACATTCTCTCAGTCTGCCAAGGACCATGGGACTGAGTGCTCCCAAGATAAGCAGAAAATATCCTTTCCTTAAAAATAATATTTAATTTCATGTTAATTTCTAAATATGAAGTCTGTGAGGAATGATTACCAGAAAGGTTATTATAGAAAATGTCTTCCTTACTCCTAGATAAAACTTACATGCTGAAAAAATAAACATCACTTTCAGGCCTTCGGGATGTGGACACTTCTCAGTCCACTCTAAGCACTCTGAATCTGAGCATCTTGATAATCAGTTCAGTGAAACCTCTAAGCAGCAAAGGCATCTTAAAATGACCACAGACAGACAGACACACATACACACTCTCCCAAAGAACAACGTATTTTTAAAACTCTGAAAATGTTTTTCAAGGCTACCTAATTTTTTATACAATAAATATTTTTGTAGTTGGTAGCAGTATGTGTATGTTTGAATATAATTCTGAGTTCTCTATTTTAACTTTTTATTTTGAAATAATTATGGATTTATAGAAAATTTGCAAAGATTGAGTTCCCATATACCCTTCACTTAGTTTTTTCTCATATTCTCCATTATCATGGTACAGTGATCAAAGATAAGAAAGTAATATTGATACCATATTACTAACTAAACTATAGACTTTAGTCACATTTTCCCATTTTTTCCACTAACAACCTTTTTCTGTTCCAGGACCCAATCTAGGATACTGTGTTGCATGTAATGAGCTCTTTAAAAATTACTTCACACATTCCTTTTCACAGTTCTCAGATTGGTAGTTTGTAATTTTATTATAATATTCCATTTAATTAATAGCACCATAATCTGTCTAGGTACCAGTAGCCATAGGAGCAGCTTCCATACCGTAGAGCAGAACTACCACTTTATAAAAATAGATGATTTTTTTTCCTTTTAAATTATTGCTTTGGTATTGGTTGCTAAAACTGGTATTTCCAGGGCAAAGGCCATCAGTTTTATAGCTTCTGTCACTTACTGCAAAATTACTTTCCAGAAAGCCTACACTAGCATACAATCTCATCAGTAATATCTTAGAATACAGTCTTTGTCCACATCCCAGTTTATTCTAGGCTTTGTCATTTTTATTTGTCTAAGTTTTATTGCATGTGAGCTACTACCCCCTAGTTTTATAATTTCCTCTTTTTAAATTATCATTGAAACAGGACATTTCTTATGAAACTCTGTTTCTGTCCATTCTTAGCTGTTTTTCTCTCATTTTCTCATGCATTTTTTAAATAAAATCTTCATTTTGGAATCATTTTAGATTTATAAAGGAGTTGCAAAGATAGTACAGAGTTCCCATATCCCCTTTACTCAGTTTCCTCTAATGTTATATCTTACATAACCATAGCACGTTTATCAAAAATAAGAAATTAACATTGGTACAAAACTATTAACTAAACACTTTATTCTGGTTTTACCAGTTTTTCTTCTAATGTCCTTTTTCTGTTCCAAGAGTTCCCATATCCCCTTTACTCAGTTTCCTCTAATGTTATATCTTACATAACCATAGCACATTTATCAAAAATAAGAAATTAACAGTGGTACAAAACTATTAACTAAACACTTTATTCTGGTTTTACCAGTTTTTCTTCTAATGTCCTTTTTCTGTTCCAGGACATTGCATTTAGTCCCTATGCATTTTTAAATTCAAAACTGCTATTGTAACCTTAAATGTTTTTCCCCAATCATTTTTTTCTCTTTGTTTATTTTGTGTCACTTTTCCACGTGAAAATGTTTTTAAAATTTCTATA